ACTAAAGTTGAAAAAGTGAAAAAGCATAATAGGACCCCCTTTAAGTTCCTCTTGTGTACTCTTCATTTGTCTGGTATTGTTTGTGTAAACCACACTGTTTCACCTGCTTGTAGATCTACCTGTATATGTTGGATTTAATAAAGAATTCTGTTACTGTGACTCTTCCTCGTCTTCATTTGACCTGAAGCGTGACAAGAGGATCCATTGTTGCGCAAATGATGGAATGCTACACTGCCGTCCAAAGGCAAAGCGCAGTAACTACACATTTGGCAAAATTGAGTTTGAGGCCTAAAATCGGCTCTGTGACATCTGTTCTGTCTTATGACAAAGTCTCCTAGTTAAATTTTGACCCGTTTCAGAGAAACGAGAGTGTCAAAATTGCAGTAACTACAAAATCCAAGCTAATACCAATGCAAACTGCAGTAAATGATGTTACTGTGTTCTAGCTTTGTTTTTCTGGCTTTGACACTGCAGATACTGCGGTCTGCCTTGGTAGCCGTAACACTCACACAGAAAGTTAGCGGGCTCCGGTAAAGTTATATTGTTAGGCAAAGTTAGCTAAAAGTTAGCTGCGCCTCCTCAGCAAAGTGACAACTGGACAAGAACACCCGGCAAAAACAGAAGCAGCTTTGAAACCGCTTAATATGTCAGTTTTACATCCATTCTAAATCATAAACATCTTAAAGACATCTTCTAAACGTCTCTTTGACATCTGATAGGAAACATCCTATAGACGTATTGCAGATGAGCAAACACATCTTGCAGATGTAAATGCAGACGTCAAATAGACATCTCCGTGATGTAGGCTACATGTGCTATCAGGGGTACTACTGAGCAATTTTAACATTCACAACATGCAAACATCAATAAAACTATTAGTTATTAAAAACAATCATCATGTAGTAAGAAACACAACAAGAAAGTTGGACGAACACATTTAGTTTGTAGATATTGCTTTTGCTTTTGGATAAAGATGAGACTCCGGATTCCAGCAGATCAGAAAACATGCGGTTTCTTGCAGCACGAAGAATTTCACA